TACCTCGAGTCGTTGTGTTTGTTTTTACGACGTTTCAGCGCGATTTGAGTACTTTCACATCATTTGACTTGACAGTGTAATAATAAGAGACAATTAGGTAGGACAGAATCGCTCGATCGACTTTCAGAGCTGCTCAGAATCAGCTCCAAATTTCACGCGAAAAAACAAACACACTGACATTTTACGCCACCGAATCCACAAAGTGATGCCTTAAGATCTCCTTCCTGCAATCTGTTCCGGTAAACCTTGCGTCTGGATCGCATAACTCGATCGAAAAGATCAACTACAGTTCAAAAATGGGCGCCATTCATCCGTGGCTATTAAAAGTGTAACATTTCAACTGTTTTGTCGCTCGTCGGGTGACTGGGCGCTACCGTCAACTAATAACTCACTGGGAGAGGGTGACATTTTTGTTCGTTAAGACAAATCTCTACGCGCCCGCCTCCCAGCAAGGAGGAAAATTTAAAAAACATTCCGAGTTTTCAAACAGCTGATGCAATATTTTTTTTAAATTTCCTCCTTGCTTGGAGGTGGGTGCTTAGAGATTCGTCTTAACGAAGAAATATCACCCTCTCCCAGTGAGTTATTAGTTGACGCTTGCACCCAGTCACCGACAAGTCACCGACGAGCGACAAAACGGATGAAATGTTACACTTTTACTAGCCACAGATAAATGGCGTCGATTTTTGAACTGTAGTTGATCTTTTCGATCGAGTTATGCGATCCAGACGCAAGGTTTACCGGAACGGATTGCAGGAGGGTGATCTTAAGACATCACTTTTGAAATTAGTGGATTCGGTGGCGTAAAATGTAAGTGTGTTTGTTTTTTCGCCAACCTCGTCCCCAGGGATTTTCCCTTAAAATTTGGAGCTGATTCTGAGCAGCTCTGAAGGTCGATCAGCGATTCTGTCCACCTTGTCTCTTATTATTACACTGTCAGGTCAAATGATGTAAAAGTACTCAAATCGCGCTGAAACTCCGTAAAAACAAACACAACGACTCGAGGTAACAATATTTACACTTTATTAATAACTTTTATCGCTTTTAGTTCATTTCTTTCATCTAAGTTTCAAACTCTTTATTCCCGATACAAACTCTCATATTACGCTTGGGCCACCTGTGGTTCGACTGAAAACAACCTGCGCAGCGATTGAAATGAGAAACTGAGACTAGTAACAATCAGTAAAATAAATATAACTCGGTGAAACATGTACTGAGACAACAATTTTCATTCACAAAGATACGTTTTGAGAGTAATGTATCCCTGGAAACCAAGAGTCGGGTAAGCATAAGTTCATAAACTTTAAAAACCTTGTAGATTTAAGCTGTTTTCTCGGTGTTTGCTATACTTCAAGATGAACCACGAGGCAAGAATATCGCTCAGAGCTTTCTTTTTACAGCCAAAATCATAGCTAAATACATTGTACTCTTCGGAACCTTTTTGTGGTCAGAAAATGTTGAGACTTTTTAAAAATCTGTAAGCTTATGTAAAACCTGATTGTAGGTCAGATCATTGTCTTGTGCATAAACTAGGCGCAGAAACTACGATCGACTTTAGGAAACCAGAAAAAAAAACCACATCAAATACAATAATAACTCAGGCTTACCAGTTAAGATGCTCCTGAAGGCCATCAGAATCGCTTGAGACTTTTTTGAACCCTCTTTATAACACGCATTAAGCAGAGGGAAGTGAGTAAAACTGATCCATCCGAAATCGGATTTCCGATGACTTTGACAACCGGCGCATTTCTCAACCAAAAAACCAATAAACAAACCAGCCATGAATAACTTAAGAATCTTGTTAGCAGCTGTATTTCATTTTGTACATCCAGTGGAAAAAGAAAACATAACCAGGTTACACAAAACTCTGTCAGTTTCAGCAATCAGAAAAAGTTTCAAGATGTTCCATAAATTTTTCACGCATGAACTCACCTTTCAAATTTTGACCAATCAGAGCATAAAAATTGGACATAGAGCGTGACCAACGCGTGACCATGGTGAGAAAGGTCAAAAGCAACTTCCCTGTCTGCCTGCCTGTCTGTAAAAGCTAGCTTATTTCTCGCGTCCAAGGTCAGTTTGAAATTAAAAGTATAACAGTGCGGCTCATAAACACAACTTCCTATTTCCCATGCATTGAAAAAATTGAACTTGAGCCTTTCATCTGAGCCCGCGAGATGGTCATGTGTTTACTGCCAGCGGATGTCTGATTTTGACAGCTGTTAATTCATCCTCATAAGATCTAATGTGACATTTGACATCAGCTTACATGAAGCGTGTGTACTGGTGGGCGTACGCTACGTCATAACCAAATTCTCTGGGATGGATAGTTTACCAAATTTTCTTACACATGGCGTTCCGCTGGCGCGCGCTTCGCGCGCGCGACAGCTCCGCTAATATTTTGGTAACCCACCCAGAATGGTCAGAATGCATGAATATTATTATGACAATTTATTCCACCACTTTAGTGTCAGTTGTCGTCTTCTTGGAGAATACTCATCGACCTTGTCCTTTCTATTTTTATTCACAGTTTGACGGGGAATGCTATGAAGATGTTGCAGTTAAAAGAGTATCTTATGGGTCTTTCTCAACTCAGATGAACATTTTGAATTGAGATTATAGAAAGCTGGTAAATATGCAAACAATTCTCAGAGCCCTTGGGCTCCTGTCAGAGTATTAAACTTCGAAATAACTTCACGATGTGATCTGAAGTTGATAGTGGAATTTAAGGTAGTTTGACGGGCGGGGAACGCTATGAACATGCTACCTTTAAATGAATATTTTGGTGGTCTCTCAACTCAAATCAAGAAATGCCTTTAAGTGACTTCCCTCTCCTCAACACTCCCCCCCCCCAAAAAAACCCTTTTACGCAGTGAAACGTACCTCAGGGACACCAGATCATGGGTTACTTCCACTCGATTTTTTTTTAAATGTTCAGCCATTCCGCAACGGCCATTTATAACGTATTTATGAGCGAGCGATCTACAAACTGATGTTTTGCTCAGTATACCTGCTATACGTTGTTTTCTGGTCACTGTTATTTCTTAACATTTCGTTTATGTTGTTTTGGTATATTTCAGGGGAAATATTATGAGAGTTCTTTAAAACTAAAAATGTTTCAATCATCAAATTACACCCTTGAGGTACCTGTCCATAACGGTCACCTCTGGCTCTTTCTACAAGGCCACTTACCCGACTCGCCCAAGGGTGGCCGAATTAAAATCCCCCAAAATACACTCTGTTTGCCCCCCTCCCCCCCCCCCCAGATGCTCCTGGGACATCTTCGGGGGGCATATTACAAAGAGAAATTGAAAACAACTACTTACCCAGAGTGTATTATGGGGATTCGAAAATAGTCAATAACCGGGTAACTATGGAAAAAATATCGGAGAACGAGGCTAGCCGAGCGGGGTACTGGGGAGTAGGCCTGTCCCGATTGTGTTCTTAAAATGCAGAAAAATTGCTCACTGGGATGCCAAAAAGTTTTCAAAAAATGCCAAAATCCCAATAAGTTGCTACATAAATTTCAATAGTTGCCACCTCAATTTCTTGATATTTAAAAATAAAAGCAGGAGCCCATCCTGATACGAAAAAAGTTAATTAAAAGCTTTCTCTCTCTTTCTTCACAGTAATTGTGCTAACATCGGTAAAGAAAAATAGCTTGAAACACAGCTTTAAAGTTGCTCGCAAATAATACTGTTTAGTCTAACCACAGGTAGTCCAGCTCACAATAAGAGCCCTGAACAGCATTTTCCTACTTAGCTAATTAATTATTCTTTTTTCTATGATTAAAGCGAAATGTGCGTTGAATTTCCTTTTTAACTTACCTTAAGCCTTTTCTTGTGTTTATTTATGTGTTGACTGCGTTGCAAGCCTCTTAAGCACGTTTAAATGCCGTTTTAAGCCTGTGAAACGTTGCCAAGTTAAAGGTAATGGGTTCAAAAGGTTGATGAACATTCGAGAAATTCACATAAATTGAGGTTTTCCCATGAAATCGTTAACTTCTTCCTGTTTGATATAATCTCTAAACCTATATTTTATGCTCAAAAATTGCTCAGAAAAGTTAAAGTTGCTCCAAGCGCCAAAAGTTGCCATCACAATCGAGACAGGCCTACTGGGAAGGGGAAAGACTACCACCCCTACTCCTCCTCTGTCCCCCGTCCGTTTCGCCTCTTTTTCTATCTCTTAATACAGTCGACTCCCGATGACCCGAACTCGGAAAAGTTCGAGTTACCGAGAGTTCGAAGCAAATAACCGGAAATAAGGAAATATGCAAATGGGTTAGCCTGCGAAAACATCCGTTTCTCCTCGCTCTTCGTCGCTGGGGACGTTTCGCGCGTAGGAAACGTCCCCAGCGGCAAAGAGCGAGGAGAAACGGATGTTGTCGCAGGCTACAAATGGGTGGGGAGGGAATGCAAGTATCACGCACACTTCACTTCAAGAACAGCAAGAAATAAAGACTGATATTTTGAAAAAGGAATTGAGCAACATACAGGGATGGACACTGAATTTGAATTGGAATGACAAAAAAAAATAATAATAAAGACAAAGAATTGGCACGGTTCATTGTTGGTTTTGAAATAAATTCAACTTGGCACGCACTAAAAACATGGTTCGAATTTTCGAGGGTAAAATGGTATAGAAATGATCTGAAGGGAAACAAGAATTACTTCGAGCCTTTCATGTGAGCCCGCGAGATGGTCATGTGATTACTGCCAGCGGATGTCTGATTTTGACAGCTGTTAATTCATCCTCATAAGATCTCATGTGACATTTGACATCAGCTTACATGAAGCGTGAGTACTGGTGGGCGTACGCTACGTCATAACCAAATTCTCTGGGATGGATAGTTTACCAAATTTTCATACACATGGTGTTCCGCTGGCACGCGCTTCGCGGTGGGAGGTTCGAGTAAACTTACAGTAAATGTATGACGGAAATCTCGTTGCCGTCGCCGTTAATGACAAGACCGTGTGCTCAGATAATCCGTTAGGCTTTATTTTGACCCTTAAATTAGAACCTATTTTCCCGAATATTATATGATATTAAAATCATCACCATTTACAACTACATTAACACTTGTTAGTCATCCAGTTCAAAAATCAAATTATTCGTCAACCCAAAGGAATCGCCGGCACTCGCCGATAAGGTCGCCGGTTTAGCATTTTCGCAATCATGAACATTATTTTCAGATACTTCTTCACTTTCTCCTTTATCTTTCACGACCTCTGGCGCGGCGGGATCAACACCACCCCCGCAGGAATGGTCCCCAAACCCGCCCCATCCGTTCCCTTCATTAACGGGCGACGAGCCGTTGCTTAGTTCAGATCCACTTCCTTCGCTTTCAAGTGAATTTTTTCTCGCCTCAGCTTCCAGTCTTGCTTCTAGCTTCCTTTTCTTTTTGTCCTTTTTGTTGCTGAAGACACGAACGTTGGGATTGAGATTAAACCGTACGTTTTTTTTGCTCGGGGATTCCGGGATTCCGTTTACTTCATTGTCGTCCCCCAGGGATTCATCGGTGGACGTGCTTGAAGTCCGCCTGAGAATGGAGCGCCTAGTTCTCACAGCATTACTTATCACATCAATTGGTACGAAATTATCATGTTTTTCTTCCAAACCCTCACCGCCGTCTTTAATCTCGAGATCGGAGCCCTTACAACCTTGCTTTTCTTCGTACATTTTCCTGCTAGCTTCCTTCAACTCCGTGCTACCAAACTCAACCTTGTCTTTTTGCTGATCGTCCGTTAATTCTGTGTTTACTTCCTCACAAGAACTGATGTTTTCTCCCATATGACACGTATCTGCAGATTCCTCGTTATTTTCAAACGATTTCCTGTCAGTAGATTCTTTTAAATTGGTTTCAACCTCAAGCTCGAGGCATTCGTCCGTAAGAGATGAAACCTTCACGCTCGCTTCCCCTTCTGGAGCCAACTGAAAGGATAATAAAGAGAGTTAAATAGCGATGTGATTTGCCAGACGTATCTACAAAACGTAAACGAACGGTCCAAAGCTCTTCTTTACAAACCCACGTGTGTAAATACAAGTGATTCATCATATTTGCTTATAACAGGTGCAAAACTTGGCACCTGTTTTACTATAGGAACTAGACGTCAGTTAAACTACGTACAACACCAGGTGGGAAGAAGTGCTAGCATAATATACGAATCCCTGAAATGCAAGCGGAGCAATACACCCTTTACTGCTACTTTCGATAACGAGCAGTAAGCGATGACCCAACGACACTGCACGAAAGTTTAAAGGTGATACGTCCAAACAAAGTTAACAATGGAAACTAGGCCCACAACAAAAGAGCTGCGAAATGCAGGACTCCAATGAAATTAGAGGTTTTAAGGAGGTGCGCGAGGTTAGTGCATCAAACATCATCATACATACCCACGGATCCTGATCGGCGATTTCTCTGATCATTAAATCAACAGTCTCGTCGGTTATGAAGAACTTGACCTTTTTGGAAAAGAAATACGACGACATTAAGTCTTCGTCTGGCTCTAAGGCCAACATTGGGTTATTTAAGTGCCGGTAGGAAATAAATTTTCTTCCATTATTGTTCGGCCTGCCCTTTATCTGGAAAATAATTCCGTGATCGTTTCACGTTTCATCCCTTTTTAAATGGCTCAACACCTTTGAGCCTTTTTCTCAGATAACCAGAAAAAACTCTTGACAAGGCCAAAGAGTAGTTTTTGTTTAAACCTCAGTGGAATTGATAAATTAAAAAAAAAAGCGAAAAGGAAATGAATTCTGGGGTAGTTACAGTTTTCATACAAAAGCCACCCAGGTGAAAATTTTGTGCATAAAAATAGAACTATAAAAATAGACGGGGTGGGAGTACAACACGCTACAATATATATCCAAATCTACTGAACAGACTTAAGTGGAAAAATTCGATCACCTCAAATCACTGTCCCTATTTTCTGAAACTTCCCAAACCGAATGGCACGAAGCACTTGGTTCTTCAACCGGAATTACCGGTTTTAATTTCCGGTTTTCCCATATAAATGGTAAACACCCCTGGTAGTTGTAGTCAAATAACGTCACTACAAAGATTGTCCATTCTTTTAGTTCAGGACGCTTAGAGAGCCGCAGGTTTATCAGTTCTTGAAACTATCAAGTGCCATGCATTCTCTCTAAATACCGTTAATTTGTTTCTGTTGTTTTTTTTTTACAATTTTTTTGGATAAATAATTTGTTAACGGCGTCCGTCCACACGCGAACAATCGTTATTAGACATTTTCCTAAAGAGGATCTCCAGGGTGGACAAGCTTGTAACGGATAACAATTGTTCTCGTTTGAACAGCGGTAAACACTTCAGAGTGTATGCGTTTAATTCAGCTCCACACTGTAACCCAAGAGTCACACTTGTCATCACAGAGGCTTTTCCACTCAAATAAAAACGTTGCTTTAGTTTATTTTTCCATTTTGTTCTTTTCCAAAACGATTTGAACATGTGCTAAAACACCAACTTCCATAGCATATGCAAAGGAAAAGAAGGTAAAAACAACAACAACAACAACAACAAAAACAAACTAAAATGTAACAAAGCTTACTTCTAGATTTTCTTCGCTGAAACCAGCATGGAAACTGTCCCAAAGTCCTTTGCAGGCCTCCAGTTTATGCAGTGTCAGAACAATGTTCTCCTCGCTGACGTCGATATTACAGAGCTCCGTGTCGAGGTTATGGTCATCCGGGAACTGAAGATAAAGGGCGTAATCCGGCGAAGGTAACTCTCCCGGATGTGGAGTACCTGATGGAAAACTGATGTACGCCTAACAGGTAAAAGAAGGAATGTATAATCAGTGAAGGGGTTGACCCTTCCATGGTTTTTTCAAGTTTTATTTGATAAAGACCAGTGAGCCACTATTCATCAGAGCGCGATTTAGAATTAGTAAACCTACCATGTTCCAAGGTGATACGTTCAAAGCGAGCGAAGACATTGCTGGCGTTGTATCCTGGGGGCCACAAACTTGCCCCCTCCCACCCCCCACCCAATCACACTTCTGTAATCTTCCGCGACTTTGTGCAGCCATTTTTTTGTTAGCCATATTAAACTCTGCAAGCAGAATACTGCAATGCTGATCGTACTACGTGAAAATTAACTCTGCAAGACATCAACACGACACCGAAAGAACTCAAAACAGAGCGGGATTGTAGCCATAGACAGCTGTTTAGTCCTTTTTGGGGCTCGTCAGTATGGCGTAACAACCAGAGAAAGCTCTGATGAAAAATATCCGCGCACTCTGATTGATGAGTTCTTTCGGTGTCGTGTTGATGTCTTGTAGAGTTAATTTTCACGTAGTACGATCACCATTGCAGTATTCTGCTTGCAGAATTTAATATGTCTACATTATTATTTTTGCTGATCAGGTCTTTATAGATCCTACGTTCCTCGGCATATTCGTTTGCGGTCCTTTGCAGTCCTTTATGGTTAATGTTTGTATTTTTTTGTTAGTTTTCAACATATCACTTTCAAACATTTCAGGGCTGACAGAATGAAGGCTTTTTTCCAGCCGTGCTAGTGCTGCTATGTACTTTCATGAGATTTGCCTCCAGTGACTTCTCTTACCTTGTTTTTGTTGAAACCCAAGGAGATCGAATCAAGGGCGACATTTGCTACGTAAATAATAAATGTGATGAGGTCAGCATCCTGGTGATACTTGTAAGGCGGGCAGGTGAAGAAACATGGCGAAGGAAACTCTGTAGAGAGAAAGCGCCAGTGAGAAAACACTGCTGTTCGTGTTTTAAACATTTACTTACAACACTACTGCACCAAATATCAAAGGGGCAGTGTCACGGCTAGTCTGCTACACGGCCTTTTTTGGTGTCGTCACCCAACGCTCCTTGTGGGGAGGCTGGCTGGCTGGTTCATTTTGTTCCTTATTCGCTTGGAAAAATGGGAAATTACTTGTGAAGGACAAAATCATAGTCTGGTTCACAGCCGTTCTTTATGCCCTCGCGCAACGCTAATATTGTGGGGAGGAGCATTGCGTGATGACAAAAAACCGTGACGACTGTGTAGCAGACGAACAAAATCACAGCTTTGTGTCAAACAAATGTGTCTCCCAAGAATTATATCACACAATTAAAACAACTGTACAAAAATGAGCTTTCAAGAACTGTTAGGATAACAAGTTCAAAGATCACACCTGATTGCAAATCAATATTTCCTAGTTTGTCCATCCGCGCTTCCTTTTGAATTTGGTGTGTCGTTTTGAGTGGTTATTTTTACGGTTCACTCAATTTGGTGGCAGTACCCACTGTTTGATAAATTTTGTGACACAGCTCCTTTAATTTATAGAGACAAATTACGACTGTCGGTCATTTTTCCCCTCGTTTTCTTTATCCCACTAGAAAGTTCACACTATACCTGAACATGAGTTGGACAGCTTGACTCTGATATTCGAGTTATCTGTCACCTTCCTTGTATCCTTTGGTTGCAGTTGGCTGTTCTCTTCACTACGAGGGACGTCGAAAGTGTTCTTACCCTCCATTGTAACGCCATCTTTTTTTACTAATTCATCGGATGATGGAGAAGAAGACTCTGCTACACTTTGTGAATTCAATATTTCTTCGCTTTCGTGTTCACCTTGCTGTGTGTCACTCAGCTTTTCTGAGTCGATTTCTTCATCCTGTGTTTGTAACAGACGAATGCTTTTACTTCACGCAAGGCTCTAATAAAATTTTATCCGATAAACGCACAAACTGGACGCGTGTTTCACTCCTTAAAACCCATCCCCTCGTACGCGATTAGCTCCAAAAAAGGCAATTGTCTGAATCGATACCTCACAATTTATTTTCTCTCCGCTTTCACGAGCATTCCTACCTCCAAATATCAGAGAGCTTAAGCAAAGGCGTTTTTGAGCGACGCACGTCAACAGGGAGTGGACTTTTTACATTCTTTGGCAGTGGTTTTGCCCAAATTTTCGGGCAAATCCTCGTTACAGCTGTCGTTATAATGGTGAAGAAACTTAGCAATACAAATTTGGTAGCGTCAAAACATATTAAAAGGAAAAAGGCCTCACTTATGGTTAACGTGCGTCGCACAAAAACGCCTTTGCTTAAGCTCCTTATTATCAAACGAGAACGTGTATAAACATCCCAAGGCGCGACTCTTTTCCTAGCCTGCGTGGCAGGCGTAAAAAAGGGAAGGGGAAGGGGGAATTTGGGCGCGCGAGGGAGAAAGGAAAGGAACCCCTCTTTCCCCTCCTCCCTCGCGCGTGGTCTCGCTCCCTAGTTCTCTTCGGATCCCCTACCCTTTTCGAACGCCTGCCACGCCGGCTACTCTTTTCCGAACAAGATGACAACCTTATTTTGGGGTATCCATTCTAGCCACAGCCTTAAGAAAAGAAAAATTAAAAAGCTTGGGAACATTCATGTCCAACAGCATACTGACTAGATGGTCCACGGGGCAGGTAAAAAGATATAAAAGAGACAGGCATGCTCGTTGGAAAATTAAAATTAAACCCCCAAGGGAGACCAATGTAGGTGTGGCTCAAGCTTAAACTGACCCCTAAAGAAGACCATGCCATCAAAAGAAATACATTTGTTTCGTGCTAGGGATGTCATGTTCTTTTTTTAAAAAAAAACGTTAGGTTTCTGTAATAGCAGTGTCACAGCATTTTTTGTAAATTGCTTTCTGCACACTAAGCGATACCTGAATGGGGAAATGTAGTGACTTCTCGTTCCAAACGCCTTAAGTGAGACCAAAATATGCAATTTACACCCCTAAGTAAGACGACAAGCATCCCCATCACTTTTATATGGGAGTCCCACCCCCTGGAGATGGTCTAACTATTGTCTATTGTAAGTCACCTACCACTGGAGTCTGGACACTGAGAATAGGCGGCGGTAAGACTGGTAATGTCACGATCAATCGTCTTTTGCTCTTGTCAAACTTAGCTGAGCCATTTTCTTCTTCAATTGGATAAGGTAGAGCCAAGTGTGTACAGTCAAGGTAAATGACACTAAGTTTTCACATCAAGTGCTAAGTGGGTAGGGATGAAAAACGAGCTCCCCTAAAAACGCCTGCGTGGGAGACAAGCGCTAAGTGGACCACATGCGTTAGTGACGGTTTTGATTCAGACGATTCGGTTCAATTGGGTTCGGAGAAAACAACAAAAAATCCAAGACATCTTTTTTAAAAAGTTAGTTACTTTCAGGAGAGAGGAAATGTCGTTTCCTGTTCAGTTCGTCTTCCTTTTGACAAAATTTTAGGAGTTGTTGAATGCCAAACCGTCGTTGTTTTGCTCGCACGTCAATAATTGTTCAACTTTTCAACAAAGCAATCACAGGATCACTTTACTGGCCTTTCCATGTCACTAAATCTTAACAGTTGAGTGAATGCATTGCAGGTTGAAATCCTAACATGTGACTATTGAAATGAAATTCCTTCAGCAGTAATTTCACAGGCACTGCTTGATTTATTTTAAGGATTTTACAAAATAAAGGTTGCCAGTCAGTGCTCGTAAAAATCAAACAGGAATCGCAGTAGGACACAACATTTGGTGGTAATATAGTCTTGGAGCAGGGAATATGACAGCGAGATCTTGCCTCATTCCGCCAGAAAGCTTGCCTTCTATTGCTTTGTTACTAAAACCAAAACGGTGACACCAATGTAAAACTTCAAGAGACAAGTTTTTTGTAGCCCAGGTGTGGTAAAGGATATGTCTAAATGGTAGGGCGGCTTCTTACAATCCAACACAAGCTGTTTCTCTAAAATATCCAAGTCTACTGGGGCGGCGGATTCCTAGGAAAGAGATGAAAACGTCAGGGTATTTAGGGGGGAGAAATTCAGCACGTAAGCCAAGCTAACGTCCCCGCTTGTAATTAACCAACTGGTTTGCCTCTGTTTCAGGCGTTCAGATTGTGGTAAACGCGTTAAATTATACGTGGCAAGTACGAGAGTAAAAGGAGGGAGAAAACTAGAGGCGGAGACAGAGGCGAGGGTTTCTCTCGCCGATTTTTTCCGTTGCTCTATTTTTCACCGGCCGTGTTCTTCTTTATGGGCGAATGGAAAAGACAACCTGCCAGTTGAATTTTTGAACCCTGTTATAATGAATTCAATAATTTTGGTAAGTTATATATTTGCTTACACCTGTTAACAACAATCACAAAAAAGTAATAATAAGTGAACGAGCAGTGGAAAGAGCACCTTCTCTTTGTGAATAAAAAGATAACAATGAAATAGGAAGAAGATATAGATCTTTGCCCGTTACCATCAGCATTTCGACAGTAACCTTAACCGCCGCGTTGTTAGTAGGAGAATGCAGCCCCTGTTTGGGGATGGCGCTTAACCCTTTAAACCCTAAGATCAAAATTTGAATTCTCATTTGTTGCCCCTATTCATTTCCTACAAAAGTAGTGGGGAGAAGCTGATAAAATATCAAGCAAATTCATCTTGTGTGATCATGTCCGTAATTCTCACGACCACTCTGTTTTACAAAGCATTGATATTACAAGGAGAAATTTGATGCTGATCACTCTTGGGGCCTAAAGGGTTAATAGTGAGTAGTGCCTTATAATGTGCAGTAGCAAAAAGAGGCCTGAAGAAGTGATTCTTGCTTACCAGCTTAGGCAAGTCAATGTAGATAACAAGTTCTTTAGGTCTTGTATTTGCATTAGAATCCCTGAAAGAAACCATTCATGCAATTAGATTTTACACCACTGAAAACTGTATCCTACCATCACCCTTGCGACTAATTAGAAACTGGTCGCTTTAGAAAAGATTACGAAAATTTCGGTGCCTGATTTGCAGCTCCGCCATTGGTGAAGCCGGGTTTTTTATTTAGCACTGTCGTCACTGCTGTCTATGCTTTAAATCGGCCAAAACCGCGGAATTAGCGGCGTCGTAAAGGCGCAGGCCACGTCTGCTTTATCCTTCCCTAATCAATGAACTGTCGAAATGGACGTAAAAGTGCCCGCTCTTCTGTTCACAAAGAATTGGGGACGCTTTCGCGAAGGTGTGGTCTATCTCTTCTCATGCTATCACTTCACTTAATGCACATATTGTAATGGACCGATGGCGGCAGCCAGAGGCACCATTGTGTGCTGAAGTCCGAGCTTGATGCTCAAGTGTAATGTGAAGAGGGACGCGCGTCCTGTTAATCTTTTGCCCGCGCCTGACTTAACAAATCGATTTGAAAGTCAAAAGTCTTAGGGTTAACTTTAGACGATAAAGTCTTGATTAGAACACCCCTAAAAATTCGCCTCTAGCCTGAGGTATTTTAATCATTAGTTATTTACATTACATGTATACCATAAGGATATGACAAACCAGGAAGTATAACCTTGCATATGTGAAATTCTGGAGGTCGATGTGTCCCCGATGCACAATTTTGTATTCTGGAACACTAGGATCAGATGTTCCCTTTTGTTTCTTCTCGGCATCGATCTTCGTAGCCCTCTTATTTTCCTCTTTACAATCAGCTGCAGGTTCATCACTGTAAGGATAAGGAAATTTCTGCCCACCGATGGTAAAATCAGGAGAATCTGCGGGCGCCTGCACAAAGCAGAGGAGAAATGTTAAAGGTTAAAGTTGGATCACAACTACTGTTATACAATTCTCTGATTTAGCACTTTTTGCACCCTTTTGTGGGTGAAGCTACAGCGTAAATGGCTCAGTGTGAGATCTATTTATTAAAAAGCAATCATTTTGTACACTCAAATTTTGACCTATAGAGCAAGGTATATTTTTCATGGTCGGGGGTAGGGAAGGGGGGGGTACCCTGGACTTCAAGTGACCGGGATGATCGAACGATTTTTTTTGGATTTGAAATTTTCGATTCCGGGATGTTTTTGGGTAGCAATATTGGGCAAATGTATTTTGGGGTTTTTTCGGTATTCAATACAATATGAAGGTTCGTGGTAGTGTCCGTGTATCTCGACCGCGCGTGGTTCTGTGAATAAAATACAACCAACCAAAGTAAATATGTTATATCATTTAATACTTTCTGGAACTTTTTTAGGCTCAGAAATTCGGCATGGGATTTTTGGGGGTTAATTTTTGGTCCAGGGATGGGTTGGTTTTGTTGGACGCCATAGGGATTTTTTGGGGGGTTTGATTTTTGCCCCCATTCGATCATCCCCTTCACTTGAAATCAGAAGTACCCCCCCCCTCCCCCAGGGGTGGGTACATGGTATGCCAACAAAACATCTGTACTAGTCATATAAGACAATAAGTTCTACAAAACAAATTACAGTGTAGAAGAAAAAGTCAGTTGCTCAAATACCTCTGCTGTCTTTGTCCTTATGACTGTAGCCTTCTTGACACCTTTGAATTTCATCTTAGGAAATTTAAGATCTGGAAAATGCATAAGAAAATGAAAAAAAACAAACAAACAAGCAATGTTGATGTTTATGTTCTATTACAGCTTAGTGTAATGCATAACTTAGCAATGTTCAGATTTTTGGTGGTTTCACCCGACCCAGCACATTGTATATCATTTATTCATCATCTGATTTACAAATTTAAGCACTGGGTTAGGACAAAAGAACTTGAAGACCACAACATAAGTTATTCCACAACTTTAATTAATAGTATGAGAATTTACATTTACCAAATGTTGGACAAAATACTTGTTATTTTAACCAAAAAAATGGACTTACTTTTTCTTTCCAGTGTCGCTTTGAACTCTTTCTGTATTCCATCAAGTGCTGTATCAATCATCAACTGCTTAAATCTTTTGTCCTGTCATAACCAAAACAGGAAAAACATCAAAAGATTAAACGTTTAAGATCCCTAGTGATCTGACTCTGGCCTACTAAACAACCCCCTCCCACTGAGGTGCAATTACATCTAGGCATTTTTTTTTGCGGGGTGGGGGGAGCTGTCCCTTACAGGAAGAACATTTAAATTATTTATTTCCTAACCAGTTCATTTTAATGCATGTGTTCTAAGACTAGTACATCTTAAATTTAATATGTCCATACCTGCTGTCCTTTCTGATAGGTATCAGGATGAAACACAGCATCATATACCACACATTTATTCCCCGCTAAATAAAATAAAATAATAAAATCATCAGAGGACAAAGATAGTAAACTATAAGCTCTGTTTTGGTACAGATTACATGAATACATTTGATATTTTTGGTATCATCTATGCAATAGGTACATTTTAAACTCTGCGCTGAAAAGATTAAAATCAAGTTATTATAATTTACAGTAACTGGAATGTTGGCAATTTTGTGAGTGCATGTACCTCTGTCAAAATCATCTCTGGGATGGGAAAGGCTATAGGGGATATTCCACTGCTGGCCACCTCTCCTGAATTTTTGAAGAGATTAAAGAAACAAACATGAGTTTAGATTTTAGCAGTGTCTTCAATCTTCATTGTGTAGTTCAGAAAATATCCATACTAACCCACAGGGGGCACTTTTGCTTTAGACGGTGGCGCGACCAAAGAAACCAATGGTCGCTCAAAGAAGATGCTGTTCTCAATTGGGAAGTTTAGGCATCGATACAAACAGGACCCTTGGATATATATCGCTAAATTATTTAATGTCTCCACTGAGCAGGCAAAGAGGTCTACCCAAGATAAGAGCAGTTTCACTGCACAGGTCGACTGTGTAGTCCCCAACTGGTGCAGGTTTACCATCTGGAGTTTACCATCTGGAGGAGTTTAACTGTACTGTACTGTTTCTCTCCCATAGCATTAGGCCTGGAGAAGAAAATGCTTGCAGGGTATGATTACTCATGATATTTTTTTCAACACCGACTTAAGAGTAGACAAATTTTTTATCTCGGCATGGCCATGTAATATCCCTAAAAAGTGTACGTCAGGTAAACTTCCAAATAAATATGACAAACCAAAATGGAGTTCAAAAGAAAAAGTTATATTAATGTCAGACAACTGAAAATTGCAGTTTAGCTGATCGCTTGTTAGTTGCATATTGTGCTTCTAATGAATACAGTTGCTTACTTTTTCCCATTTTCCTCTTTCTCCATGTACTGCGATGAGGCTTTTCCAATGTGCTGATTAGAGCAAATATTGACAAAAGCTTTCACTCCACTGATGGAATCTGTTGTCTTCACTACATACCCATCCTGGATGAAATGAACCATAAATAAGTGATCTGTACAATCACCATACATTACATGGTTAGGTTACTGTTACAGGTATAAAAAGCACAAGTGTATATTCTTTTTCATTCAGGTACACAATCTCAATTTGTAACAGGAAGGTTGAACTATTGCCTACTGGGATATTCTGAAAAGTTCACAAAGGTGCCATAGAAATAATCATGCTTGCAAACCTAGGAAACATGATCACTATAATCCAGGCTCCAGATGAATCTCAAACTATTAATGTTAAATTCCATGCAAGATGCCTGTAAGCTTTTTTAAGGAGTCAAAGCAATAACTGAACCCCAGGTTGAAGTCTGGTCAAATATTAAAGCAACCTAATTCCCAGGGCTTCTCGCTCTGGATGGTATGAAGAGAGACCTGACCCCAATGGGAATGACACTCCATGTAAAAATAGTAAATATGATTATACAAAAACATTGATTTACAAACCCCTGGCAAAATTAGTATCATCTTTGCAAGCTCAGATAGTTTTAAAAGTATGGACCTGGCTCCACTCAATATATAATAAACCACAGTGACCATAATTCACCATAGACAATTTTTCTGACTGCCTGGCACTTCAGCTCAATATCATGTGTCTTATAGTCCAATGAATAAGAGCCACTTTCAATTCTACACAGGTAGCCACTAAAAGCACCATTTAAGACTGTTGTCAAAATTAATGTTCCTTATATTTTAGCATTAATCACAGCTATAACAAAATTGTCAAATCTGATTGGCTATCAACTGCCCCGATTTCAGCCTTAATTGGACAGTTTAATAGGACAGTACGCATCATGCCTAAGTAATTGGACAGTACGCACCATCACGCGCACGCTTAAATGGCTTTTTTTTTCACTGCTAGCAAAACAAAATTTCGAATTTCTTGTGTTTTGCTTTAAAAAATAGCCTATTATATCACAAATTTTGTTAAAGTTATGATTAATTGGTAACAGAACTTCGTGTCGTCCAATTCGGTCTGTAATCATACGAGTGATTAAACAAATCACAAGTACGCTACGCGGTCGTCCGATTTTGTTAATCACTAGTATGATTACAGACCGAATTGGACTCCACTCAGTCCTGTTACCATTACTTATTGTACAATTGACATTCTACCAATTGGCTGTAAATCATTTCAACTTATCTTCATGAGGTTAATCACCAAAAGGCAAATACATCTACTATCAATTATACCTCAGGATTAACAAATTTGACATCCACTCCTCTCATTTTCTCCATTTGTGTTATTTCTTCCTCATATTTCTGCAAAACATCCATGTAAATATGAGTTACAAACTTGCTTCACTAGCCATATCTGTGTTCACCAAAATGGTGAACACATCAAAACCTATAGCTGTACATATTACAAAATGTCATATGTTAATTTGGGTATAAGTTGAAACAAGCACATGCATGCATAAGGAAAACACTTGTGCATACTTGTAAGCACAAGACTTTGCAAAAAACATAAATATACCACATTATTTTACAGTACTTCATATTGCTCTCTCGGTAAGCCATACCATTTCAGGGTTCGTACAGATTTTTGGATCCAAAATTTACGACTTTTTCCAGACTTTTCTCCAATACAATTATTTCTTTTTCCAGGTTAAAGGCTATCAAATAGGTGATAAACGGAGACATAAAAAACGCAGTCAAACAAAACTTTTTGCATGGTGCGCTGCAAACACGCGAGAGAATGAATAAGATTTGACCAAAAAAGAAAATGTTTCACTTCTAAAGCACTTGCCATAGCTTTGGAAAAAAAAAACTCAAGACTTTTTACTATTTGTTTTCCAGACTTTTTCCAGGCCTGGAAAATCGCTGGGCAAATTTCAAGACTTTTACTCTGTATGAACCCTGCACTTGCCAATTAACCAGAAAGTTAGTTGCCCAGGCTCTAGAATAAGTGCCTCCTTCTTTCTACTTCTCACTAGCAAGGATTATCATGAAAAGACCCTTTTTCTTTTCTCCCTTTGATAATTCTTTAAACTTTGAATACATCCATATCAACATGGATGAAAGCCCAATCACCATTAAGTCAGTTCCAACTGTTCTATTTACAAGTGTACATTTAAAAGATAGCACCAACACCACGTTTGCGAAAGGAAATTCTGAAAAGCACTATGGTCTCCATTAAGTGTTCAGTTCTTCTAAAATAATCATATGATTGTGCTTATCTGAAGAAACTTGGCTGCTGCATGTATTGTAAGCATATGTTTGGTCAGATTCACCTTACAGAGTTGTTTCTATGAATTTAATGCATCAAATAGGTGCAAACCTTCTTATTTTCTGGATCAGATATCTCTTTAGCATATTCCACCAACAATTTGCGGAACTCTTCATCCTTCAAGGCTTTTTCAAATTTATCAAGTTCCTATAAGGACAGTTAAAGAAATATCACAAGTCAGTTACTGGTAATTTACTGTGTTTTTTTTCTTGTTTCGGATATTTCACTGGGGCATTCCATCTCCAGGCCATTGTGGAATATACAATAATATTTTGTCATTTGGGTAGTACTTTTGATGTGAACTTGATTTTGCTCAAACTGAGCATACAAATGTTTTTTCCAGTTTACTTCTCTTGTCAATAGTTAGACAAACTTCTAACAAACTTCGTTTTTGCTACTCTAGTTGTTTTTAGGCAGTACGTCAGCTAATTTTTCTTCAAATAACTCATAAAATCTTCTGCTATTCCCTCCACATCTTCCAAAACAACTGAAGCCCTGTCCACATGTATCCGGATATTTTTAAATCTGAAATTTTTCCATTGCGGATCATTAAAATATTTCCACATCAACACAAAGTATGTTCAAATTGAATTTGCCCCTCGCAACATATCCAGATTCACTCTCAGTTAAGTCAGCTAATTATTTTGTAAAGCGATGTTCAGCTCATGCAAACATTTTTTCGTCATTCTTCTTCTGAATCAGTAATAGTTTTTCACTGACAAAATTGTCCCACAAAGCACTAGATCATTTAACTTCCGTCCGACATGGAAAAAAACCTCAGAATGTCAAGCAGCCATTTTGCTCAGTAATCATAGCTACAGGTTTAATTGCACACACGTTATAAGACTGGAAACTGAAGTCCAAGAAGTAAAGCAGCGATAACATTGCGCTCTGCATCATCTTGAATATTCACGGTAAAGAACTGAGCTCGATCTGGTTACGTCACTGGATAAAAAATATCTGGATCTAGCTTCCACACGATTCTGGATTCATGGCATATTCAACAATTTCCACTCTGGAGAGCGAATTTAAAAAGTTGTGGTTTCGTATGCCGGATTCACTGGATACATGCAGACCGAAGCTGAACCCGCAAAGAAAAAGTTGCAGATTTAAAAATATCCAGATAAGCGTGGACAGGGCCCGAGGTACCATCCGTTTTGCTGTCCCTGTTTTATTTGATATCTGTAACATCGACGTAATTTTACGGATATCGGCAAACGACTAGCCGGGAATTGAGCCAAACAGGAACGGAGAAATATTTTAGCTAATAGTGATAGTTAACTGACAGTTCCTTCAATTCATTTCTTTTCTCTAAAGAAGTGTCAAAATTTTTAATACTAAACCAGTTTACACATATCAAAGCACTTAACAAGCACTCAAACCAATGTTGAACTGTTAAACTATGAGATTTGGCAAAACAGCTGGTGATTGTATAAAACGCGTCCCGTGGAAGTTGAGCTCCTTGTTTGCCTCACAGTCAAAATTAACTATTTGTGCGTTGATATTGCCGATAACAGTAAAACATTCAAAGCTTTACTAATTTTCTTCGCTGCATGCGAAAGAGTAAAGCATATCACTTCACTCAGCTCAGGTAATCAGCTCAACACCGGGGCAAAACTTTACTCGAGTTTTGAAAAAAAAATAAGACAGTAAATGTTAATTTTACCTCCTTGGTCATTTTGAATTCCTTATCGTTGTTACCTTGCGACATTCTGATGACTTCTGACTGAGTATATTCCTAGGAAAATAAAAAAGAAATTTCTACAACCACGAAATTACTGTTTGTTTCTTTTTGAAAGCGGGGTAGCTAAGTCAATGCTCCTTTCCAGGCTCCAACGTGCGACAGCAAACGTTGTGTGACGTGTCACATTATGTACGAACAAATTTTTCAGCCAAACTTGACTTCCTTTTAATACACCGACCTTTTTGTTAATGACCAGAAAAAAAGAAATGTAGCCTGCTTAGCTGACATTTTTTTTTTGTGTTTTTTCTCTTATTTTTCTTTACGTGAGAGATACAGCTGGCTTGGCAAAAGCCCCCCCCCGGGGGGGGGGAGGGGGTACTTCAATCAATCAATCAATCAATCAATCAACTTTATTTAAACACGGTAAATGGCTGAGCAAGCTGGTTTTCAGACATGCCGTGTGGTAATTACAATTTATAAAAATTAAGACTAGTGATTAACTAACAATAGAATATAACAACAAGAAATAAGTATTAGAAATAAGATAAAAACATGATAAAAGTTATATCCTAAGATATAGCGAGTTTAAAGCTAGTAAGATCCCCCATCTCACGTGTTTCATTTGACAGTTGGTTCCAAGCCATTGCACCCCGATAAGAAAATGAGCGCTTGAGAAAATTTGTTTTAGGTAGTGGTAGTTGGAGATCATAGTTAGATCATAGTACTTCCTTATGAGAGGCCAGTGGGGATGTGCTGCTGGATGGGGTCGCATTTTCACGACTAGATTGAATATGATGGGGCCGCATTTTTAATAGAGTTACTAGAATGGGGTCACACATTTTCGGATTTTTTGGGTTAAGAAAGTTCTTCATATTTACGGTTAGCAAAAAAAGCGTACCGGAATGTTTGTACAGTAGGTGAAAAGTAAAGTTTTCTTCCTTCAGTTTAAAAGATGGGTCAATTCATAAACATAGAGAGTGGCTAAGTTGGGATCGCAAAAATTACTAAGATTGGGTCTATAATTACCCTGCGAGCAGAGGCCCTTTGATCTTCCTAGATACTTATCTAGGAAGATCGATGGGCCTGAGCTCGCAGGGTAGTCTATAATTGTTCACAGAATATACTATAATGGCTTAGGGGCTTTGAGAGGCCAGAGGGGCCTATGCTCAGCAAAAATTTATACAAGTACCCTCCCCGGGGAAAAAGCCAAGTTCATGAATCTAAAAATGAATGATAGAGCTATTGAACATAAACCTTCTACTAAGTTATTGGGGGTTCATTTGATGAAATGCTGACCTGCTGAACCTGGGATAATCAGATAACAAATATTTCATCTAAAGTCTCTGATGGCTTGCGAATGCTGTACTTAGCGAGAAAACTAACCGGTAATAAAGAGACTCTTAAAACTATTTACTATTCACTTGTGATGTTGTATGGGGTGTCTGCCCGGGGGGTGTCTGCTCCAAAACACGTGCTGACAAATTGAAAAGTTGCAAAACAGAGCAGCACGGATTATCACTTGGGCTGATTACTCTATCAGATCATGGATCATCAGATGTACTAAACTCGCTAGAGTGTTCGCGAGCAAAGAAGAAAGAGGAAAGAGGCATTTATTAGTTACGATGTTTCAATTATTCGATAATAATTGTCCAACATACCTTCGGGAGACTCTCGTGAGCGGTTTCGTAGAATCTATGAAGTTCACAACGGTAATTTCAGTAATTTGAGGGGTTTTAACTATGATCACCAACTACCGCTACCTAAAACGATTTTTTTCAAGAGTTCATTCTCTTATCGGGGTGCAATTGTTTGGAACCAACTGTCAAATAGAAGATCTTACTAGCTTTAAACTCGCGATATCCTAAGATATAACTTTTTAGTTATGTTTTTATCTTATTTCTTTCATGACTCATTTCTTGTTATTATATAACGGTATTTCAAATTGTTACTATTTTTATGAGTATTATTAGTCTTGCTTAACATAAAAACCAGATAGTCACGTTTATAAGAGTCGATAGGAATAGATAAAAATGTAAATTCTTGTGCTAAATTGATTATTGTTAGTAAACTTGTAATTGTTACAAGGCATGTCTGAAAAAAAGCTCTGCTGATCCATTTACCGAGTTGAAATAAAGGTGATTGAATGGAATTGAATTGAGTGGTATTGTCGGCAAATAGACGAGGTGCCAGTCGTCAGAGTCGTGAAATTAATAATTTCTTCATCCCTGGGGGAAGGACTCCCATATGAAAGAGACAGGAATGCCGGTCGGAAACATCGTCCCCCTTTCCCCTTAAAAATGCCCCACTGGCCCATTCTCTAAGTAAGGGAATAGTTATTCGCGTGGCTTGTCCGTAGTTGGTTTGTTTACGCCACGGGGCGTAAACAAACTAGCTTGGCGACTGACAAGCTAGGCGAACGACTTCGAAAAATATGCTATAAAAAGCCATGCTACAAAGAAACCTCTGCTGGCAGGGTTAAAGTACAAATGTACGTGAATAGTAATGGCCTGTGACAGTTATTAATTTAATTGATTAAAAACATTCAGCCACTTGTTTATTGAGCTTGCATGTTCAGACAAATTGAAGCAAATATATTGCAATTCCAGGGGAGGGAAGGAGGGAGGGGCGCTAAACGCACGACAGCAGTTGCCTCTTTGTCACAAACATGGTATACAATTTTATTCAGGAATGTACTTTCTATTTCTTCCTTGAAAAGAAAAACAACAACAACAACATAGTGTGTATTGTCCTAAACGTGGTTTAACAACAGAGGCTAACGTCCTACAATGCGTTTCAGGTAAAACAATTTCATGCGCCGCCGCCCCCCCCCCCCACCCTCCTCGCTCCCTATATTGGGTAACTGGTGCCCACCACGTGAAAACGTTTTGTTTTCTAAGGAACTTGTTAATGGCTACGTTTACCGCGATTGATGTGAAACCTGCAATGCGATTATAGACATGAAGTAATGCTGAACTTAAGACTCTGCGATATTCAGGGAGTGAGGATTCTACCCGACAAGACAAGGGAGAAGGAGTAAAAAGTAAAAACTTTAAACAAAACTTAAAGTAGAAAGGGCAAGGGGTCAAAACATCAAGAAAATACCGTTGTATTTTGTGATCTTCTCCTTTAATAAGTTTAAGTTTCGAAGTGACCTGCGACTGCAAACTCTGTCTCTCTCCCCCTCTCTTGGTCTTTTTTTGTTTGTCTGTCATGTCGAGCCCGTAGAAAGCATGTTCTCACCTCGATACGAGAAGCAAAAATTTTAAAATCGGAGTTTGTGACATATTTTTTAGTTCTTCATTAAATCCAGGCTCAAGGCAAGTTTAAATACTATAATATGTACTGTACACATTGGTAAATGTCAGCTGTCGCTTACAAGTCCCGAGATTTAAGCATCATTATTCCCATACATTCCCAATCGTTTTAGATAGTCGTTAGTAAAGCCGTATTTATTTACACCTTTAGCCAGTTAATTCCTTGGCAACTTTTCCTTTCTAATTTCTTTGTTTTTTTGGAGGATAAATGAAAAATCATGGTTATTTTATTGTATTGTCCTTCCACGTCAAGAAAACTTGCTGTGTAAAGTGCGGCAGCTGACCTTTAAGTCTTTTTCGCGTGACCGAAACCATTTACTCATCAATAAGCCGCGTGATTTAAGCCCGCTTATGCCTGTCGCCTTCGATACTACCTTGTGTTTTTTGCTTAGCTGGCGAAGATTTCTATTCTAAACAAGCCGATACGCCTAGCCAATTTTTAAAACTTCACGGGAATGAGTTAGTTTTTCTAAGTGAGGATCACTCCTTTCTCCCAAACTGGTACGTATACATATGTCTTATGTTTTGAAGTATTGCCTCAGATCGTAAGCGCTGTAGCCTCGATGTCATGCCAGAATTGCACGTACAGTTCAGCCAAAAAACGGATATCGTCCACGCGGTCCGCGGGCTAAATGTGGGGCATGAAGGCAAGGGGTTTCGTTTGGCAAATTGTCTCTTTTTTTGCATCTTGCGAGATATAAAAATTTGGGGGCACCTGGCTTCAGTTTCCATCACTGGGTACAACTTTCAAGTCAGTTTCCCTGACCAGAGAAAATTGCCTCGAGTGCGCGTTTCATATTCTGCTGCGGAGGTTTTCAAAGATAGTTGTAAAGTTTAAACAATGAAGGAAGAAGAAACGAAAACGGAGAACGGATGTTTATGATCCTACTACCAATTGCAAATGTCGCGCAAGCGATCCCATCAGGCCTACAAATTATACTGGACTGACCTGAGTTGTAAATACAGAGTGGGGATGTAAAAAAGTTATCCAAAACTGTACTAATAGAGCCTTCCAAATTTAATAAATTATCTCGAAGATTAGACATTCGCCTAACTGATGATCGCCTACGTTTTAAAAAGATTATACAAAAGACAACGCTGACTAAAAGTCACTCAGTTTCAGTTTAGCACGAGATGAACTCCTGATCATCACTAGTTGTCTAATTCTGATCATCACTAGTTGTCTAATTCTTATAACGCAACTTCCGTTATTACGGACAACCTCGGAACCCAAATAACGGGGTAAGATATGGAATGTTGAATGAAAACGCCTGACTTTACATAAAATGTCTTTTTAAGATAAGATTAACCTTAGAACCAACTCAAACACGGAAAAGAACGGGATGGAATGGACGATTTTTATATTCACTGACTTGAAAGATGTCTTCAGGAAGTAGAAGAAGAAATTTTTTTAATTGATACGTGAAAATTAAGCGTTGACCTTCCTAAAAAGAAATGTTAGAAGAAGTTAGATGATAAAAACGGAAGAGATAAATCTTGGCGTTGCCTTGTTCTCTGTAAATACTTTACGTTATCATGTAACCACCAATGATATACCAGCTCAGCTTTCGCGCGAAAACATGATATCTTCTCTTTTTTTTGGAGGGGGGTAGTGCGCGAGGCGGCTCTTGAAACTTTTTCCCAAAGTATAATTGCTCTCAATATTTTAAACCTGATTCAAAATTAGATACCCTATTTTAGCATCCTTGCATGATTTGAGGTCATTGAATGGCAAAAATGAAAACTGATGGGATTTGCTGAACGTTTCAACAAGAAGAAATGTATTTTTACAAGTCTGATAAAATTTCAGTAAAGCACGCTAGTGTAACACGGAACTCTTACTTTCAGTCCGAAATAATATTTTCCGGGTGCTCCGGTTTTCCCCTAGTCAAAAACCAACATCAATATCATGGATGATTGTGAAAAATTTAAGTATTCATAAGTGAGTTTGGTTTTGTCAATCCATATTTAACTTTGTTGTTGTTGTTTTTTGTTCTACATCCCTTGGAAATAAAAAATGCTTGGTCCCTAGGAACAGAAGTGCGCCCTCAAAAACTAGGTTTTTGCCCTGCGAACGAGTTTACAGGATATTAAACAGTATATTAATAGATGAAAAGCTAATAAGCACGGTGAACATCACTCAGAATCTCTCTCCACAGATGATACTCGAACCGATCGTCTGCATTTGAATGGATGAAGATGAAAATTCTGTAAAGTCGGAACAGAAACCCGTCATCCCGCGAAACGAATGCTTGAACACGTTTGATGAGCTACTGAAGGTTACTGGAGGATTTGGCCGTTATCAACGCTTCCTATTCAAATTTCTTAGCTTTGGCTCAATCCTTGTCGGTGCTCAATTTGGCTTGCAGTATTTCTATGGCGCTACTCCTGACTTTTCTTGTGTTTCAATGCCTCATAATGAGACCTGCGATCCTGGTAAATGCTGCGAAAGTTGTCAAAAGTACGAATTCCATGGTCCATTCACAAGTGCTGTCTCACAGGTAAATTTACGTCCCGGGGAAGGGACTCCTCATATGAAAGGGATGGGGATGCTCGTCGTCTCGCTTAGGGGTGTAAATTTCGGATTTTGGTCTTACTTAGGGTGTTATGGGCAAAACGCCATCATATTTAGCCGTGAAGGTCTCGTTTAGGGTTGCACGTGAAAAAATATAAAAATATATACATTGTCTGTGTTTTAACATGGTCCCTTTTAGGGGACAAAAAAGCTTGGGCCACGCCCAGATCGGTCTCCTTTAGGGGTATAAATCAAAATTTCCGACGAGCATCCCACCCTCTTTCATATGCAGCGTCCCCCCGGGATTTACGTTCACTTAAAGGGGTTATGACACGCTACTCGCTATCTTTTTAAAGGCTAACACGTGTCTTCGAATCAAACGACTTCCAAAAATAATGCACGGTCCAGTTTCCAGTGTTATTTCAGACTATATGTAGGATTAAAACTGTTTTCTGTCATTTGTTGTATCGGATGTCAAGGACGTAAATTGGCGGTTTGAAACTTGAAAAAATGGGGCCAACTTTTTCAAGTTTAAAAGCTAGACCAGCAAAAATCACCGAGAAAAAGTATCATGGTTAGTGCTGCCTGATAAAATATGTTTGATATCCTTTTTATATACCTCGACATGAGCATTGCCTGTGTAAAGATACTAAATAAGTAATGACGTCAGCACAAAATTGACCTAAAACAGTAGGACAGAGAGAGAGAGAGAGAGAGAACAGAAAAAGAGAAAAAGGGAACAGAAATATAATATACCAGTTTAATTTTTGAAACTAAAATCGACAACAAAAACTCATGTGGGAGATGAAATGGAAATCATACCGACCAGGGAAAGGGTATTTCTTCGTGATAAGCGCCAACTCTCTAATAAGCGTCCTTCTCTTTTTCCTTTCTTTTGTTTAGTGGGAGCTAATCTGTGACCGGCGACATCTTAAGGCCTTGATTCACACTGGTTACCTGACGGGAATGCTTGTTGGCAGTCTTCTAGTCAGCCGAATCTCCGATAATTTTGGACGAAAAGTGGCAATTTTCATGAGCCTCGGATTCCAGGTTGGCGTCTCCTCGAGGTCATCTACTAGCCATTTTAGTTTTTTTACCAGTCGAAACTCCACTAACAGCCCCCTCTTCTCAACGGTCAATTATTTTGGTGGTGAGTCAATACATTGACTCTTGTTTGACTCTCGGCCACTTTTTTGTGTCCCCAAGGTGACCGTTGTGGAGTGTTTCAACTGTATATTCACCAGATGGTAGGGGAAAGGGAGATTGTGAATGGTACTGAGGAAATTCAGATGCACTAGGAGCTCATTTTCAGTAATCACCATCTCGCTCCTTAAACACTGCCAAAATGAAATTTCACAAAAATTTCAGATTTCAGTTTTTTTTCGTTAAATCCTTAGAAATAGAGAGTGAAAACAGTCTGTCAAAGAGGTTTGATTACAATGGTTACATTACAGAATATTGTTTGACGGATTTAACAGTTATTAGGCCTGTGAATCACAGGGGGTACTGCCGTCTCTCCTTTCCTCCTGGCCGCCTGGGACGTCTCTTTTGCGAAACGTCACTAGCGGCGTGGAGAGCGGAGAATCGTCAGTATTCGAAGATCGGCCATCAGAGCTCTTTACTGAAGAGGAAATATCCTCCCCATACGGTGCATATGCATGGCTCTAGGAACGAAAGCATAAGAGAAGATTAAATCAAGGCTTTTTATTGATCAACAGGCTATGTTTACTTCGGCATCAGCATTGTCAGAATCCTTGTCACTCTTTATTTTCCTTCGATTTATCGCTGGCGTTTTCACATCCGGATTTCTTGTGCCCCGGTTTGTTTACTGCGTTGAGATAGTGAGCACGGCTAATCACTCCTTTTTTGGGATAATAATCAAGTTGTTTGCCGAGCCTGTTGGAGGATGCATCCTTGCTATACTTGCAGCCTGGGTTACAAACTGGCGTCATCTAATGCTGGTGGTGTCTTTGCCATGTTTTCTGCCGCTTATCTTTTGGTGGTAAGTTTGTTAAGATTTTACTTTCACGTTTTTGTCTTAGCAGGAGAATAGCCAGCCTGCGTGGTAGATGCTTGAGAGTAATTCTTGGGCCAATTACCTCCAAGCGCCTGCTACGCAGGCTAAGGCGAAGCCATCTTTCATTGTCCAATCGACTTAGGCCTACTCTGGCTAAAGTTTAAGTTGCCTTAAATTGCCTAAAGTCGCCTAAAGTTACGGCGACTTAAGGTCCCAGAGTAGGCCTCGACTTCCTGTAGGCCTGGCTCTTTTGGGGGGAAGATCTGGTTATATGCTCTACCTGTCGAAATTTCATTTCCCTTTTAATAATTCTGTTGATGTCACATATGATAAGTGCCCACTAATCTCTGAGCTCTCGCGCTTTTCAGTTGACCCCAAGGGAAATTGTAGAAGCCCGGGACTACAGTCTGGCCACGCCCATGTATGGTCGTGTCAGTCTAGCCCATAGAGGGTGACTGCTAAGTTTTTTTAGGTTAATTAGCTAGTACAGACCAAGAGCTTCGTTTCCCATCATCGTTTCCTCCTTCATTTAAAGTGGATCGGTCGGTCGGGCAAAACGAAAAATAGAAAAGTCTGATTTATGCGACAGGTCACGGTTTTTAAACTGTTAAAGTAGAACGTTTAAAAATTCCCTGAAGTGTTTAAAATTAAAAGATGCCAAAAAAACCTTCGTAGTGAAACCTTTTTTATACTGTTAAGAATCTATTTAAGAATTTCTTGTAATGAGTTATTTTCCATGGAGATAACTTTCAGAAACCTCTGCTTTAAAAATAATCCGCATAATTTTGACTCCCCTTTTTACGCTGGGTGATAACCCCATGGAAAGTCTATCAATGGAGATCCAGCCTACGTCCACATCCAAACTATGGATACAAGACTAGCAATTGATGTCTCGCATTTTTGGACAGAAGATGAAGGGGACTTTTCTTGAAATAATGATCATACCTATAGGATTTGACTGAATTGACAAGCCCTTTTTAGACCCAACCGATCACCTGAAAGGTAATGGAAGGTAAAATTCAGGTTCGGAAGAGAACGCATTTTATTCGTGGACTTTGCCTTTATAGAGAGTCTCAATGGGATTGAACGGCAGCCGTCAAGGACGCACAGCCTTAAAATTAACCATCAACCGTCAAAATTGGCAAAAAATATAATCATCAAGGCTATCATCTTCTTATACACCAGCAGTCATTTGATCTTTTTCGTCTCTCGATTTTCAGGCACATTCCTCGCTCTCCTCGATGGCTGATCGCAAATAATCACTTTGACGAAGCACACGACGTGTTAATGAAATATGCTAGGTACAATCACGTGACTGTGGACTCTGAACATATAAAAAACGTAATACATGAAGTTCGAGGAAACGAAACAAAATCTGGAATCCTTGATATTGTGAAATCAACCAAGCTACGGAAGCGAACCATGATCTTGATCTTTAACTGGTGAGTAGTTTATTCTTTATAACGGTCATTACTTTGACAGAAACGGCACCAACTTACAAGGTCTCTAGCAATCACCTGTCATAATACTAACTACCCTGTTCCAGGCTCCAAGACATTAGAGTCCTATAGCGCCAGTTATTTAAAAGAAGTTTAACCAGTGTTTAACAAAACCACGTTCTGAGCCATTTTCGGTTTTCTGAACGCTTTTATGTAAACACCATTTATCGGACTAGAAAAGCATTATGTTTTCTTCTTATAATAACCCACTAAAGAATGGATCTGGAGTTCATTAGATCTAAACCGTGGTCTAAGTTAGACTCAGGGGTTTCGTTTCAGGCTGGATGTTGTTTGACATGTAACGTCTTGTAGTTCAAATAATTTTTCTTAAGTATAATACCATCAACTGACGTGATACAACTCACTTTGACTCTGAAGATGACTACCGTACAGGTTGTTGAAACGTCAGTCACTGTCAACAACAACAGTCCTATTCAGGACTACGTTCACCCGGACGATCAAACTCAACCTACTTTCGATTATTATATTATTGCCAAATCAAATTCTTCATTTTTTGTGAGCATATTTTTTATGCCTTAAAAGACCTTCCCAGTTTGCCAATGCCGGTCCAGGGAACACAGGAAATCGCATTTTAGCCAGTCTACTTTGAAAAATCTCCCCCCGGGGGAGAATGGACCCGGACCGCCAGTCAAAGTTTGCACCTGCGGCTCGAGCGGCGCAGGTCCGTCGGCTGAATCTCGGCATCCAGTTCTTCCAAATGTTACCCGTGAAACCCTGGAGACCTCGTTTAACCAACCGACCCTTAGATTCTAAGGCGGGAACGACTTGGAGTACGAGATTTTCTCTGTAGAGTACTAAGTAGTGCTTGGGCGAGAATCAGCTCTCGTTTTGGTAGGGTAACGTGATAGCCGTAGTCATTCTACTACGAGTTTTTAGCGTCAAATATCATTCACTCTCCTATTGGTCAATTGTCATGACGTCACCGATGGAACTTCCTGGTGGAATTTCGCGCCAAACCGGTCAAAAGTCCATTAAATTGGCATAACCAACCGGGAAAAATAACAAAGGACTTTCAGAAAGTCTACATTATAACGTGAAGTAAGTAAAGAGGAATTAATTCTAGTAAATCACAAAACGAATTATGATATAGTTCTCTTTCTGTCACTTAGGTTTGTTATAGCTTTGGTTTATTACGGACTGGAGCAGAGCGTTAATAATCTTCATGGAAACATGCCAGTTTATGTGAAGAATTTTTTTCTCTTTTTTAATCAAGCTCCATGTTTCGCAATCAGCTTCTGTTTAGAAAGGTAAGCTAATTTGAGATTTAAACTGAAAATTTTTTTTTATGCCACAAAATGAAAATGCAGAGTTTAAGTGGTGAAACCACTAACCTGCTAGTGAATGACAGGACAAAAGGAGGAAAAATCGGAAGGGAAAGGGAAAACACAGCCAGAAGGTCTGATCACAGGCTATGAACTAAAGGCCGGGATTGGCTTCTTTTGGCTGAGCGTTGGCCTGTGGGTCGATGTTTTGTCCAATCAATGAAAAAATTCCCATAGTGCAATTCGATACAACATTCAGACCTAGTCTCACTCTTAAACTTTTAATGGCTAATAGCCTCCTTGCCGACGTCTCCTATAATACGCCCGAGAAAATGGTCGCGCGAAAGTACAAAATTACCCTTCTCGTGCTGAAAATATTGCACTCGTTCAAGTGTTCATTAGTAAATGAAAAATATATAGAAAGCTTCTATTTTTTTAAAAAAAAATAAGGCGTAAAACAAAGGAGATAGGAAACGTCTGCATCATATACGTTTAGAGGAGGATGTCCTTTAAAGTTGTCAACTTTAATATTGATAGGTTTGGTCGCCGTTTGTCTTATTCCTCATTCATGATGTTGAGTGGGTTGATTTTTATGCTGGCGTTAGCAGTACCAAGTGAAAATGGTAAATAAATGCGATTATTAGCTTGTTCTGGGCCCAGTTGTTCGAAAGCCGATTAGCACTTAACCCGGGTTTCTTCTTCTTGAGTTCAAAAGCATTTTCTCGCATAATTCTGTCCGTTATTTTTAGAGCTTCCAATCATCAACTTGTAGGCAAATAGAATTAAAACTGAAACGCTTTTTTTAAAAGCTTAAAAGCTTTCACATCTGAATTCAAATCTCACACTAACCCTGGGTTAACCCAGCTTTGAACAACTCGGCCCTGATCTGTAAAACTTGGTTTCATTCGCCTCTTTAGAAACGAGAGAAAACTGGGTCGAGTTAACTTCGCAAAGACTCCTGGGACTTTTACTGAGGAAAGGGGAAAAATGGGCCAAAGGTGACCAGCGCTGTCTCAGAAACATTTCCGGTGTTCGTTCCAGTGCCCTTCGCGTTTCTCATAGTGGGAAATACATAAATTCTCCCTACATTCTCCTCAGTTTGTCACGTGAGCCTGCGTAATGGACGACAACATGATGGACGTGCGAGTAGCATGTCGGGCGCGCGAGTTCTCGCGCGCCTTTATTTTCTTTTTATTTCCCTTCAAACTCCTTCCATGCAGGTTATCTAACTATCACGTCTGTATGAAAATCAAAAATCGGAGTCGATAAGCGCAATGGAGTTGGAGTCCGAAGAATAAGGACGGTTTGCATTTTCTTCCCACTCCGACTTTGACTCTGTCGATTACGATCTTGCAAAAACCAGATTGTCGGGGTTGAAAGCAGGATAAACCAGTCACAATGCAACTCCCTCTCTTCGTGATTGGTCTATTTCTTCAGCTTCTGCCTGCGAATCCGACAACTTGGTTTTCTCTAGATCGTAAGCGGAATCAGAGTGCTGTTTTCGCTGGATCATAACGCTCTACGATTCTTTCCTTGTAATGAAAACGAGCCTATATAGTAAGTCATAGTAGTGTAGTACGGACCTAAACTGACCTAAAATTAAACTAAGTACATTTCTTGCCTCCAGTTCTTGTTTGTCGAACAGTGCAAAGAATAAAAGGGTTTGACCTTTAACGGCAAGGGTAAATGACATTTAAAAAAGCACAGGGGGTCCCTCTGGCCGAAGGGGTATGTGCATGTGGGGTTTAGGGTGGATGGGTGGGTGATGGGGTGTTTGGGATTAAGGGAAATTTAACGGAGGTTAGGAGTAATTGCCCGTGTTCAATTAAAGATAAACTGATCATCTCGCTACCCCTTCTTTGAAGCCTTCCCATTTCACAAAGAATTATACCCCATTATTTCCTCCTACACACACTCGTGGATGCTCTTTGGGCATCGTTACACGTTCTACCCCAGGAGCGGAGAGGAAAGCGCGTGACGAAGCCTTACGAACGTCTGTTAGGTGGCTGGTTAACAACCTATCTCTCGAATAACCAGAACAGTGTTTAAAGATACTCTGCTCTTTCTTTCCAGAATACGAATTTGTTATTGTCGTTAGCGCGATTGCTGGCAAATTTTCCATCTACATCTCCTACATGGGACTGAACTTTCACGCCGTAGAGCTTTACCCAACCGTGATAAGGTACTGAATAGATCATAACTCTAGCTTACAGTTTAAGGTTTAATAATGTTTATAATAATAATAGTGATAATAATAATAATAATAATAATTAATAATAATCACTTAACGTCAGATCCCTAGGGAAACAGTTAGTTTTGTTTTCCCGAGAGTTCTGATGTTTCCCGAGACGAAGTCGAGGGAAACATCAGCATTAAGTGTTTTGTTATATTTCTAGACTTTCACTTCGAGAGCAACAAAAGAATAACCGGAGCGAACCAAAACAGTCGACTCGGTACTCATAACAACACAAATTTAATTCTTAAAACCACTGAATGAATGATTTACAAAGTACTTTCCTTATATTATCTGCATCTTTTTCCTCCACTAGCTGCTGTTTCTCCTCTGGGATGACTTTAAAAATCGTTGCTTTTTAGCTTGAGGCTTCCTGTTTGTGTTCAAGTTGTTGCGTTCATTCACGAAAAAGAAAACGGGCAGTGTTTTTCCCGCCTTCTCTCACACCACTTTCCACTATGCTTTGATCACGTGCTGTAACGTAGATCGAGCGGGATACATTTCTTAATGTATCACGATTGGGATACATTTGGTTTTAGTCGAGGCCACGTGACCAAGAATCAACCAATGGCAGTCCCTGTTTAGTTGAGTGAAAGTCTAGGAATATAACAATAACCTTTTATTGATGACAAAACTAACTATTAAAACCTATTTACAATTAATATCGCTGAAGAAGGAAAAAAATAATAATAATAATAATAATAATAATAATAAAAGTAATAATAATAATAACAATAATGATAATGATAATAATAATAATGATGATAATAATAATAATAAGGTTTAATAAGGCTTATGTCGAACCTCTCCTGCGATGTTCTCCTCTCATGCTGGAAATGTAGTTACTGATAGTGTTATCTATTGATAGGAACACTGCTCTTGGGTTATCAGGACTCCTTATCTATATTGGTGGAGCTCTTGCCCCCGCTGTTGCTTCACTGGTATGTTTTTTACTCATCTAAATCTACCGGTATATTGCTTATTCTAAGCTTTATTACATTCATTTTGAAATCACTGGTCATTTTTACAGAGCATTACTTTCCCATTTATCATCAGTAACAACATATTATTTTCTGCTTATCTTAGGGTGACGTGCCAAGTTTAGGTAAGACATCTCCCTTCCTGGTCTTTGCCATTTTATCATTGGCCGCTGGAATAACGGAGTGTTGGTTACCAGAAACGTCGACAAGTGAGATGCCACAAACCGTGGAAGAGGTGGAAGAAGGAGACGAGGATTATAGCTTCTATTGTTGCAAGAAGCGTTTAAACCTTCCCTGGCGCAGATTGGACGACCAAAGAGATGTGTCACAGACCAAGGAACAGGCAGAGGAGTCGTGGGACGAGGATCATAACTTTGACTGTTGCACCGAGTCTTTATTGCATGCCTGGATCAGGTTGGACGAGCAAATAGATTTGCCGCAAACCGAGGAATTAGGACAGCCATGGGGGTGAAGTGAAGTATAACTTCTACACAAAGAAGTGTACTGTCGCAATTCGTAATAACTGTCCATCACACTGGACTTGCAGCCTAGTGCACGTTAGACGAACAAACAAAGGGAAAGCGAACTGTTTTTGTTGCAGGCGGGATATTCCTGTCTATTATTGGCGTGTGCTGCCTTCGGCGCGTAGAGTAAGATGGCATTTCTGCACTCATCATGGTGCATGTTAGGCGTATTTAACAGCTTAATAGCTTTGCATGGGGGAAATGAATTCTATCAATGAGTACATTTTGTGGGAAGGATTTTATTCAGGATATCAGTTTTGTAAAATAAAATTTGAAAATATACAGCTGAGACATTTCTATAGTGATACTGTCTGTATTTGTTGTACAAGGCAGATGAAGTGAAATTTTAATAGTGTATTTTGTTTTACCTCCTTTCGCCAATTCTTGGCAGGGCCCGGCACAGCAACAGCGCGTGGCGCCAATTACTGTGTGCCCGTAACAGCCCCTTCCCCCATGAGATAAGACCACCACACCAGGGATTAAACGAAAGGTACGTAGGTTCTTTAGCGTCCCACAGTATTCACTTGTGCCATGATTTTTGCGAGACGGGGCGTACTATTCATCGTCCTTATCCGGGAAGACTAGAAAGCCTAACCGTTTGTAGATCTCTTTACAAAAGCAGCACTCTCTCCTCAATTATTTAAAGAGCCTGCATGAGTGTCGGGTATATCCAATTGAGGTAACTGGCCGGCGGTAAAAGTACGGCCTGTAAATCAGGTTTGAAGTAAATTTGAAAGAAAGCCTTTTTTCGACAACGCACTTCTGGGCGCGCTGTTTAGTGTTGAATTTCCACACCAAAAGAGTTCGCCTGCACTTTATGACAAGGTAGGCGAATTGGAATGAACGGGATAGAGATTGGAAAAAGGCGAAGTCATTTTTTAAGCGAAGTCTTCGCTACCGTCGTCTACTGCCTGGGGGATGTGCAAACTTCATGCCCGGGAACCAGTGCCTGGGTACCAACGGAAAATGGTGTTGTTTTCACATATTTCGCCCTGACATACGCCATTTTGAAACGTGAGCGTAGCAGAGAGTACAAAGCAGTGGATTAGCCCAGAACCGAACAAAAACGTACGGTGTGCACACAGGGACTCGGCACCACTGTTATGTCCGATCGAGTACAAGGTCTCGACCTCGTACTCTTACTTGTACTGTGCCCGAATTATGGCTGCATGCCGTCATGGGCGTGTTTACATTAGTGCCCGTACTCGAGCACAGTGCCTAGGCAGTGTGAACGCTGTCTTAAGGTGGATTTCCACCGTCGCGTAAATTTTACATGCGTACACTCGTAAAATTACGCGACAGTGAAAATCAACCCTTAGACACCGTTTACAGGGGTACGGACAAAGGTTTGAGCGGACGAATATTCAAACTGTGTAACCCTAGCCTGCTAGCAAGCGTGTAAATTCCGTTAAATACTGTTTACACGAGTCCGCACAACACAAAGTTTTGCCATTGTAAACATTGGAATGGTATTTTAATCAAAGGCGCGTAGGGCTCTTCGCTTTTACCGCACGAACTATACATTTATTTATTTATTATTTATTTAAAAAACAAAAATAAAACAAATATTATATGCAGATGCAGGTAATCGGCTCCTAGCTATAGTGAAGATATATATCGCGTCAAGGCTAGGGACCGGTCATATTTATGGCCTTGGTGGTAAGGGGGGAGGATCTTGGGCTCAACAAGGTGAAATTTAGCCGCCCCCCCCCCTTTGAATGTTACCTCACTGAAGGGACCCCTCCTAATAACATTTGATGACTTTCACGATGCCTCCCATGTCTTCATTTTTCAAGCAAATTTGAGTGGTCACCATCTGAATCCTTCCAAAGTTTTCAGCGATCCCCCCTTTTGGGTTCTCCTAAAATCAAGTGATCCCCCACAAGAAATCCTCCCCCCCCCGGCGATAAATAATGACTGGTTCCTTAGTTTTCACGATACAAATCTATTTTAGCCCCCTTTGGAACCTGGTTTTGGCGAATCAGGAAAATTGGCCCGATTTTTAAAAATATTTTCACAGGAGTCGATTTTGTCATTCAACCAGATATGACAACGATTTGTTATAATAGCCTGTTAACACCGGCGTTGCTTCCGCCATCCTCGGTCATCTTAGGCGGAAAGATTGCACCTACTCATGAATCGTATCTTAGCCCCTCTTTCATGCAGAGACAAGTACTAACTAAGTTAACTGTTACTCGTCTGAATAGATTGTTTCTTTACATTATATTCTTGACAACCGAAAATAAAGACCAGGTTTTCATTACTTGCAACGCAAACAGAACATAACGCAAGCTTGATCCCTAGCAAAAGTTTTCTTCAGGTCAAAATGAACGGTGACACAGACAATAAAAAGCATAATCACAGGCAAGAGTACAAGAAAAGAGAAAATTCTTTTCTTTATCCTTATGCTTGCGCTTGCGTCCAGACCGTTTCTAAGGTAAACTGTTGCATTTGTGTTTTCGCCAGACTAGGCTCTCTGTAACATTTAGGTCCCGTCTCTACGCATTCCAATATTTTTGAAAAAGGATATTTTTTCTCCATTTTTTTTTTAAATTTGCGTTCACACGTGGCGTATTCGAACTATTTTCGTTCCTCCACACAAAAACGCTACAACAACGACATCACCTCGGTTTTCACGCGTCCGTCCGCACGAAAACGATAAGCCAGTGTTTTCAAAAGCTCCACGTTACTCAGGAGAGTGTTTTTGGACTTGGTGTAGACGGTAGGCCAAGCCGGAAAAAAAAAACTGTCCGTTTGCAAACATAAACGGATGCGTGTGAACCGACAAGGCCTAAAACACCCCTAGTCTGGCCTTGTAGCGGTATTTGCCTGGTCAAAGTCAAGTTCACAAATCGAGACAAAGGAATTCTTACAAGTGCACAGGCACGCCTTATTATTACAAACACTCATAATTGGCTCGTTTTGCGCAGAAATTTTTATTCGTCGGAAATACCGGGAAATAGAAGATCCAAGGCAAATTTTGAAGATCATCTTTATTTCTGGCAGAAAAAAATCGCAATGAGTAGTTCTTCAGGAAGCGATTCTAGTGTAAATGTACCAGGTAGGCTGAATTTATCAAAATGATTTCGAGAAGTTGTCCTCTAAATGAAAATTTAAACGTCGATATCAGCTCATTTCATGAGTCGAGCGAGTTGGTGTCGGGGCTGAATTTTCGTTCAGCTTTATTATCTTTTGAAATTTTAAATTCCCTTTTTCGCAATCAATATTTTATGGCAAACTATTAAAATTCTGTTGAAATATACTTCCATATAAATCTAAACTACATCTTGATGGATTGCATAACTTTCGCAATACCACCGATACTCATTTTCATTCTAAGTGAAATTTTGTCACTTAATTAATTTGAAAATGAATCGAAATTGATGAGATCTGAAGTTGAATATTTTATTATCATGGGCGACAGAATTAAGATTTTTTAAATGTTTAGGCAGAGGCTGCTCTTTTGTTGAACACTCAGTAAAAGAGCCTGCATTAATATCAGCCGGCGTTTAACGAATAACAAAAACAAAATCCTAAACCATTCTCTGTTACCTATAACCAGCAATATCTTCGAAAATCCTTGATAGTTTAATTGTTGGTATTTAGAAGGAAATCTAGATGACGATTGTTTGGTTCAATTTTCTCTCAAAGATGATGTTTTATTCTATAAACACCAATGAAATGCCAGGTGAGCTTTCGCGCGAAAACTTGGTATCTTCACATGTGAAAATAACATGTTATCTTCAAATGTTAAAATATCACCGTTGCTATGGCTACATAATAAATCGCGCCTTTCACACGGAAAAACTGTTAAAGTGAAATGGTTTGGTAGTTCTTTGGTGTTTATATAATAAATAGAATATTACATGGCCGCTTGGGGGTACGAAATTTCTCTTCTCGTGTTGAAAAAATATTTCACTCTTTCGCAGCGCTTACTCGTGAAATATTTTTCAACACTCGAATAGAAATTTCGTATCTCCTCACGGCCATGTGATATCCTCTATTTATTGACTTGACAGGAACTGCTCTTATATATAATATGTTTATTAAAAACTGAATCGTTGGATAATGTAATTCTAGAGATCTGATTGGCTTAACCATCATGGTATATGAGCCGTTATACCATCCTCTAGAACCGTGGTAACTGTACTTACGCGTCTGCTCAAAATTAAAAACAAGCCGAAAATCGGTTGTTTTTACAAAGAAAGTCGGAAAGAATTCTCGATATTTTGTGGGCGTTTTAAACAAAACAATTATACCACACGCGCTTGTGGGATATGAGATGATTATAGCCAACTCATATCCAACGTGCACTCGTGGAATAGCTGTATATATAATGTGAATATGATAGTCAAAATTTGAATAAATTGAAGCGAAAATCAAAAAAAGTCACTGTCGTTTGTGCCCTACCATTGAAATGCCGAAACTTTAGAAACAATTCGATTAAAGTAATTTAAATCCCGTGATCGTTTTATCAATTGACGTTTTTCTTGGCGTTTCCGTTGCTTAATTTTCCCAATGCCGATCGACAAAATCAGCAATAAATACATGTAAAACCTAAGACAGTTGTTTTCAAACGAGGAAAGAAATTGACTAAATTCTGTCAAGTTAAATCAAAGGATGAAAGACGTAACTAGGGAGAGGGTTTCTAGAATGTGTGTGCCTCATAAAAGAAAAAAGTAATAATCATGGTCATGTTTTCAAATTCTTGACTTTAATTGGCTTATTATCAGCCTTGGCTGGACATTTGGGCGTTTCTTGTCAAGGGCAATTTCCCCACAATCGACCATGGATATCGCTAATAGTAAATATGATAAACCGTTTTAGCATGTGGGTTTTGGTTTTCCCATTTCCTGCCCTCGTTATGATACGCAAGTGAACAACGGATGGCACTAAAACGGGGAACCGGAAAAACGAAAAATGGGAACAAAGGAGAGAATTGGAAATG